TTCCGTAGTGAATGCGTACACAGCCTTGGGACTGTGAAAGTGTCAACGTCTGGTTGTCATTAGGTATGACGATGAGTTTTTAAAAACGTCATCACACGGAGGTACATCGCCTGTATGAGTGACCTTGTTCTTTTTTAGATGCGGAGCATCTTATACTCGCGCCTTGTAGTGCGCCGTCCGCGTCGTCCGCGCCGTCCACACCGCTTCTCGAACATTCGACAGCTGACGCGCGCGCATGCGCCGTCGCCCACTCTTCCACCATCTGTGCATCCCTTCCTCCTCTACACACCGCGCGCGCTTCACTCCTCCACCATCTGTGCACCCTTCCTCCTCTACACACCGCGTTCGACATCTACAATTCTCCTGATTCTCCAGTGGACGCGCATGTGGCGTCGCGCTTCGAGAACATTCAACAGCTGACAGTGCATGCGCCGTCGTGCTGTATATATACTCAAGGTCGGCGCTCGCTCGCTCAGTTGCCGCTCGTCGGTTGGTTTGTACGGCGCGTCGACGTCCAAGGTCGCGGTGAAATGAATTCCAACGAATCCACAAACACAATGATCGACGTCCCTTCGACCAGCGCCGCCCTTTCGCATACGTGTGTACGTGTTCACTCATTTAACACCCCCTCCTACAACCACGTTAACCAATTTAGCCATCGACCCAAGTAAGTCGCACTTTAACACCCCGTTAACCAATTATATGGTCCGCATCCTCCTTAGTGTTCCCCCGAGGGAAGCTGTGGGCAATTTTTTTTTGGCAGGCTCACGCTTCCTTGACTCTCTGCGTGCGTTGATGCCTTTCAAGAGCTGATGCCTTCTATGAACTGGCACACAACTTGTATTTAAAGACCATCTCACGTGTATGCATACATTTATGGAACGAAGCGTCCATAGCCATGCAAAGGAGTTAGAGCAGGTAGTGCGCTTGACGAATCTTCGCCTGTGAAGTGCCACGAGAGAGGACTTTTTGGCAAATGATTTACCACAGCTGTTGCAATGGTAAGACTTGTATTATGCGCGCATTAGGCGATGTGCCACGAGATCAACCTTTTAGCTCAAATAATCTATCTGACACGTGGAAATGATAGGGCTTCTCGCCTGCCTGTATGCATGTAGTGAAGTAATGCGAGACTGTCCTTCCGTGGAAATGATTTAGCCAATACGTTGCAAGTTTAATGTTTATCTCACCCTTGTGCGTGCGTTTGTGCTCACGAAAATATCCCACCTGTGCGAATGGTTCAGCGCATGTAGCACACTTTAAGGTTTCTCGCCTGTGTGCATGCACGGATGTCTTGTAAGGTCATACTTTCGTCCAAATGATTTACCGCACGAGCCGCAAGGATATGCCTTGTCACCTGTATGCGTGTGGAGATGTCTTGTGAGGTCACTTTTTTGCGCAAATGATTTATCGCATGATGCGCACTGATGTGCTTTATCGCCTGTATGCATGCTGATATGTAGTAGGAGGCTATACTTTCGTGCAAATGATTTATCGCATGATCGGCACTGATAAGGCTTATCGCCTGTATGCATGGGGAGATGTCTTGTGAGGTCACTTTTTTGTGCAAATGATTTATCACATGAGCCGCACTGATATGGCTTATCGCCTGTATGCATGCGGATATGGAATATAAAGCTATCCTTTCGTACAAATGATTTATCACACGATCCGCACTTGTAAGGCTTATCACTGTATGCATGCGGATATGTAATATGAAGTTATCCTTTCGTGCAAATTATTTATCGCATGATCCGCACTTATAAGGCTTATCGCCTGTATGCATGTGGAGATGTCTTGCGAGATCACCCTTTTGTGCAAATGATTTATCGCAAAATCCGCAATTATATGGCTTTTCGCCTGTATGCACGCGGATATGTATTCTGAGGGCATTCTTTTGTGCAAATGATTTATCGCACGTGTTACAATGGTATGGCCTATCGTTTGTATGCATGCGGAGATGTCTTGCGAGGGCATTCTTTAGTGCAAACGATTTATCGCACACGTTGCAACTATGGGGCCTCTCACCTGTATGTGTGAGCATATGATCTGTGAGGTTACTCTTTTCTGAGAATGACTTCTGACATATGAAGCAATGATGGGACTTCTCGCCCGTATGCGTGCGCCAATGTCTCTTGAGTTTGCTCTCTTTTGAAATGATTTGTCACACACTGACACTTGTGGCGTCGTTCCCCCGGTGGCTTCTGGCCGCGGTTGACGCCACCGTACAAAACGCTCACATCCTCGCACTTTTCCCTCTGTGAGAAGCCAGTAGCGTCTCTGCGATATGAGACATTGCATGTAATAGGACACACACACAATTAAGTTTAGGGACAGTAGCCTATTTTTGTCAATAGACAGTTTGGATAAACATGATAGCTTTTGTGAGGCCTACTCGGTTAATTGTACTCTTTAGCATTACGCATTTTTTAGCATTCGTTAGCATTGATCAGCAACAACTCAAGATTGGTACATAACGTACACACACATTTTTCTTAGAAGTGCACACTGTTTTTTGTTCAAACTTATAAAATTTCCTCGCTGTATTTATACAGTAATCAATGCCTACTCGTTCACTACTACTCCATACGACAAAACAGTATGTACAGTCACTTGAGATGAACCTCTAATCAAACTTTCGTACCTCTAGAGTAGAGAAATTCCTCAGCATCAAGTCACGAGACTGCTTTTTTTTCTGAGAATGACTTTCGACCTACAATCACGTCCCTGAGTGTTTGCGGTACCTATTTTTCTAAGCCTACTCGACTTCCCAGCTGAGCACATCGGCACAACGTTGTTCTGCAGGCTTAGCGAAATATTACATTGCATATTCTCCCAAGCAAAATAACTTTACACAGATGTATATTGCCACGTTCCATTTCCCAAGTTTTTGTTATCGTCCCAAAACACCACACAATTCTCAGTGCGAACCGCGCCTGCAGTTTTCGAGAAGGTTCCGGACTGTAGTAGATCATTTCGATAAGATCACGCCCACTGTGCGAACGGTACAGATTTTTCTGGAACCTACGCCACCGCCAGCGATAACGCTAGAACATTCGACAGCAAGAGTATAAATGCCGACGTGCTTCGCCGCTTGTCAGTTGTTGATCGAAGGCCGACGCTCCGTTCGCCGCTATCAGTCCGAGACTGCTATCTGTGCGAGAATGCTGCTGTAATTGGACTTTCCGTTTACCGGGCACAGGTTCGTCCAAATAAACAGTTAAATCCCAACCCGAAGTCTCCTGTCTTCGGCCATATCACGACGCCGTGACATCTGGTGGTTCGCGCTAAGAATCGTGTGGTGTTTTTGGACGATAACAAAAACTTGGGAAATGGAACGTGGCAATATAACGTCATCTGGAGTAGATAACACATGTGCGCAAGCAATCGCGGCCGTTTTCTGCGCTGCAACAAAGCAAAAAAAGGTTGTTTTTCTTCCTTCACTGTAGCTCGTTTTGGTAATACACGACGCCAATATTCCGGAGCTATTCCAGGGTTGTTGATGTGTGGTACAATCGCAAGGCTGTAAGAATCAATGTTACCTTTAAAGCAATCACCCCCAAAGCTCGCACTTTCGTTGAGCGTACGACTTTCCTAATGAACTTAGTCACCGTACAAAATTTTCTACCACTAGGCGTAACAAAATAATAGCCTCTTCAAAATATTGAAATATATAAATAAAGCAAGTTCCACTGACGTGCATTGACATGATAAAAGACGTAGTTTTGAAATTATTGTACAGTTGCAAAAAACGCTAGCCTGCGTGGTAGGCGCTGCAATGTCACAGCGAAAGCTACAAAAGCGGCCTTTCAGACCTTTTCAAAACACAAATTGGGTAACTACTGCAAGCACACTTGTTTGGTACCCACTAGGGCATCAAAAATAAAGTTTTGTGTGTAATAATAATTTTTGTGGTCCGCTTTCCCCATGCTATTTTTTGTCATTCTTCTGAGAAGCATGCTATCCGCTAAACCCTTGCAAAGAATTTTGTGCCATAAGTCCATGCAGTGGCTGACAACGATGAGGAATTATGGACGAAAAGGTATGTGCCACAGATAGTAAGGGAAGAAGAACAAGCTCTTGTGATGGATTGGACCATCGGACGGCCCACTTGTTACGCTTTTCGCATCGTGCGACGACTCGTTGTATTTTTCGCTGTTTTAAAACGCCTTATAGGTTGTAATAACGCGATCGCTTTCCAAACATCAAGCCTGTCTAAGGCAAGTTTCCCAACCAGTCACAAGCAACGGTGTAGCTCAGTGTAGCTCAGTGGCAGAATACTGGGCTGGCATCCAGCGTACCCGGGTATGAGCCCCTGTGTGCCATTGGTGCTAGGTCGTTCCTGCCTAAGGCAAGTGTGACATGTTATAAGCACCAGCGTAACTTACTGGCAGCATATTGGGCTAGCACGCAGCGGACCCGGGTTCAAGCCCCATTGTGTGATTGTTAGAAGATTTTTTTTCTAATTTAGTGCAATGTGGTTACGGACATCAGTGGCGGCGGTGGTGGTGTGGGCGGCGGCGGCGGACAACAACTGCACGTGACCCGAAAAGTGATCTCATAACAGCTTTCACTGTAAAATAAAGACTTAATATTTAAAACCGCTATTCACAAGCTCTTCCAATGCATTAGTGATATATAGTAAAGCATATTTGTCCACCCTACATGCACTAATCTGCGAAATTGCGAGCTTTGTGACATTTTAAAATGTTTTTCATCCATTTGCATGGCATCTAAGCAGCTCAAGCGTCTGTATAACAAGAGGATCGTTACTGGATGCTATGCTGGATACTGTCATTGATGTTTTGAGTAACTATTTCTATTCTGAAGGCAATGTCTTATATGGAGACATATATGGCCCATGTGCATCTGTTCCTTGTCATTTGAGCATTTTAAATAGAAAAAAAATTCCCAGATGTCACTAAATCGTGCAAAGCTGGACCACAACAGAGTAGCTGGGTGTAGTTCAAGTTCTCTTGTTAACCATTTTTACAGAATTCTCGGCCTGCAATTGAGCGCATGCTGACTCTTGAACCTGATAACTTTCTATCGGCTACATGTGGCGAACTTTTTTTATAACGCATCTGTGGTTAGAAACTCCAGTATTGCGTATGTGCCTCAGAAATTTAGCCAATCTCCTTACTCAGAATCCTGGTCCGCAAAATAATGAAAGAACACACGGGCACCAAACACCAATTAAGGGTTCGGTAGTAACGTAACATTGAATTGACAGAGACGGAACATGGTAAATACCAGGGCTCCGTGCTTCACAATCACTTGTTAATCATCTGTACAGAATGCTTCGGTGGTGGTTAAGAGTGTGTTGGTTAATTAGCACGGTGGTTTTGTATCCACGACACGCGGCTGTACTCGACCAGAACAGCTGTTTTGCCAGGCCTGTGCTGAACGAACAGCACATTCTATGCGAAAGCTTGAAGATCGGCGGAGATGCGTAATAACAGCTACAAGCTTGCAGACAATTCTATGCAGTTTTTCAATGCTGTAGTTGAGGACGCATACCTGCTCGGATTTCTCTGTGAAGCCAAACGCTACTGCTATGCTACATCCCATAAGCTGGCTTCCCTGTAATGGCGCTCAAAATTTCGCCCTTACCGCATGGTGCTTTCGCCACACGCTGAAGCTCCTATGACCGTACGGCTTGTGCTGGGCACGGCATAATCAAAGGAGCTGCTGCTGCACACTGAGTGTGGCAAGGCGGTTCTGTTTTCGGCCGCATGAATTTGCCCTGAAAACAAACGTAGTTCTTCGTTACTGTGACAATGATGCGTGAGAACTGTCAACAAAAGACCTCAAATCTCAAAATATTCTATAAGAGTTCTTCAGAAAAGAACAGACGATGACAATGCATCGGTACTGAAGGTCACAACTTTTGATAAAAAATAGGACATCGTAACCAACGTTGATGTGTCCGGAAATTTAGAGTGGTACAGAAGGAGCTCGTTGAATTGCATTGTGCGGATCTTCTAAAATTCATGTGATGACCTTTAACTGGCAGTGCACGCTTTATTTATTTTTTTCACTTGTTTGCATCACAAATATTCCCTATTTAAGCAATGTGAAAGTCTTTTCAATTAATTTGTTAGTATAGGTGAGATCACTATGAAACTCTACAAGAGTCATAGAAGCCACATGGAATTTGCATTTTTTATGTACTCTCCGCGCACAAAAGGAACTTCTGCTAATAAATGCAAGATGAGGCGTGCTTCCTTGCTATATTATTGATGGCAAATATAACATCACTTACCAACATGGAAAGATTCGCCTTCGTCCTGGTGTTTCGAAGTGTTCTGCTCTGCATTGACGTTTGCAACGGGAACCCTACAGACACGAAATGTTTTAACGTAGGGTTATGTGATGATAACAATAGAACGGCATATCAACTAGGCTAGTCAAGAAGGCACAGGGCTTTGTGCATGGGCTATTTCCCTGTTGTCACATTGAAGGAAGAGAAAAGGAAAGGGCTAAGAGGTTATTCAGTTCTCAGTCCGGCTGGCTACGCTGATATTCTGGGAAAAGTGAATCTATAATTAACCTAATGTGCAGGAGCAACTGATCCTTATTTGTGTTCAAATATCACCATAGTGTTTGGAGTGTTCTGCTGCAAGACAATAACCAAGTCACTTTCGAGTGAAAGAATTGACATTCCGACAATAATAACACTCCATATTGCCCGTAAAGCATGATATGTATCTACATGACCAAAAACAGATCTGCCACTGTTTTAGATTGAAAACTCTCCAAGTCTCAAATGTGATATCACGCGGCCCTTGCAGTAAAGAGGTGAGTGGTTTACCCGTCTGCCTATGTAGATTGGATGCCTCCATTGCACCCTATTCCATACTGAGGAGTAGTAACTTGCCGCAATTTCATTCCTTTCTATTCGTCAGAATAAATAGCTTAGCCCACGCATTACCACTGCGGGAAGGTGAACTAGCTACTCTCCGCCACATCATGTGGGGAGGGTGTAACAGCACTATGCACAGTGGGGATGGGCAGTGCCAGGACGCCACGTATCGCGAAGAGGTGAGAGTGTGGATACGCTCCGAAGACCTGAAGACGCATCGAAGGGCCATCCAGCGGCTTGAGGAGGCTTT